GCCTAGCCTGCATGTGGGCAGTGTAGGGCTGGTAATCCACCACTGCTGCTAATAGTGTAAATGGGCAGGTAGTGCCATAAGAGAGAAATTGGGTAGTGGAGTCTGAGTCAAGCTGGACCTTGGTTAAAGGAGAACTATGAAATGAGTGCTTTTCACTCACCTCATAGTTCTAGCCGTCCTGTGACAATGAGACTGCCACAGGTCGGCTCAGTAGATCGGGAGGTGAGCGAACACATACCGGCGTTCGCTAACTTCTCGATCCTGTCAGGGCTCTCTGCCGTGAAAGGGGAGGGGCTGCATTCCCCCCTCCCTGCTCTGATCCTCCAGCGCTGACTGGCGGATCAGACGGGGAGGGGGCGGGTACAGCTGGCTCTGCCTCTAGATAGGCAGAGCCAGCTGTCAGTCACGCAGCTGGGCGGATCCAGACATAATTGTCGTGATCCGCTTCAGCTGCGGCGTCTCAGTATACCGCGAGCAGTAGCTCGCGGTATACTGTGGCGTCTCTGTGTACCGCGAGCTGTAGCTCGCGGTATACTGGGCTTAGGGTGACGGGAGGACACTAGTTTGTGTCCTCCCGTTACCCTAAGGAGAACTATGGGGAAAAGCCCTAACCCCATAGTTCTCCTTTAATAACAGCTAGCCTGATAAGGACTCAGCCCCGCTTTACGTCCTCCACTTTCAGGCCAAGCACATGCCAAGAATGGTTTCAATATTCAAAATGCAATATTTAAAGAGATGAAACCAAAACTTTTTTTGCCATGTGGCCCATTGGGGAGATTTCCCCTCACTTTCTTTCCGATGGCCACAACAGGAAGTGAGAACAAATCCCTCCAAATTGAGGGAAATTCCTGGTGGTCAGTAAGGTCACCAGAACTAGTTCCCCATTGGAGGATTTCCCATCCATTCCTGTTGTGATGACAGCCCAATATTTGGGTCACCAGGACAGATAGAGAAGGTGGAAACACAGACATCAATAAAACCCTGACAGGTGTTCTAATCCCCCTCCATTCTATCCAAAACTAAATAAGAGGTTTTGGCTTCAGTTACACGTTAAGTATAATTTGTCATCTTATTGTCTGTCAACTGATGCCAATTTTTTTATATTTAAACAATTATCGTTTAAAGGAGAACTATGAGGCGAGTGATTTCCACTCATTCTCATAGTTAGAGCCGACCTGTGACAAAGAAGATGTCACAGGTCGGCTCTATTGATCGGGAAGTGAGCAGAAACATGCAGCTGATCCGCTCACTTTCCGATAGTCTCTCTGCAGTGAGCGGTGACTGTCAGTCACAGCTCCCCGCAGGGATTCCCCCCTCCCCTCTCCAATTCTCCAGCGCTGAGTGGAGGAACGGATGGGGAGGGGGCGGGCACAGCTGGCTCTGGCTCACGCAGCTGGGTGGCTCTAGACAGTATTGCCGTGATCCGTCGCGTCTCGCAGTATATAGTGGGCAATAGCCCGCGATATACTGAGCTTTGGGTCACGGGAGGAGGTTAGTATATGTCCTCCCGTGACCCTTAGGAGAACTATGGAGAAAAACACTTACCCCATAGAGAATTTATGTGACTTGTTTGGGACTTGCTGGACAACAGAGAATTGTGAATGGGTTCTGTGTATCAGCATTGCAAACTGAAACCATTAACCCTTTTGCTGCCAGAGCTGTTTTGGCATTTTTTTGCACACATGTTAACATACAGATTTGGGGCCTGAATATAAGTTAAAGAAGAAATCTGGGAATTTAAAAAACACCCTTGAAGTGGGGGTACCCCCTGCACTGAAAGAGTTAAGTGCTTGTTTTGTCTAGGGAGCACAAATAAAGTTGTAATACTCACCTGATCCTCGATCCCTCCAGGCTGCTAGACCGGTCTTCTTCTTCCCTGGGCATTCTAAGGACTTGTGATGTCATCACTTCTAATGTAGGTCCCTTGATTTGAATTAGATGTGAGAACATGCCACAGCTGGAGTGGAGGGGGAGAGAGGTGAGTGCCGACTGTCATAGAACCAAGGATCAGGTGAGTAATAGAGCTTTTTTTCAGCCTCCTAGACAAAACGAGCACTTAACCCTTGCAGTGCAGGGGTACCCCTCTGAAAGGGTAATTCTTTTTTAATTTTTTTTTTTTAATCCCCACAGTTTTTCTTCACAACCCAGAAGAAATATATATTTTCTGAAAGCAGAGACCCTGGAGAAGAAAATGGTGGTAGTTGAAATTTTTTATGTTGCATGTTAGCCCAACTGTTTATCTAACCAAAATTTTCAAATACACTAAATGTAATTCTAGTGCACACAAATATATTACCAGAAGGTTAGGGCGTGTCATACAAATCCTGTAGATACCAAACATGTCAGGCCTTAAAATTGTGCGAACGCGTAAAACAATGACAAATTTTGGTACCCAAAACTGCCCATAGGCATCACTTTTACAGCCTTCACTGTCATCAGTTTAGAGTTTACCATGAATGATGACCCTAGAAATTTTGTGCTCACTCTGGTGTGCCTGGCAATACCTAACATGTACCTAATGTGCGCAGCAATCACCGTTTTCATACGTAGGCTCAGCATGCACTTACATATACACTGGGCGGGGGCGGAAGGGGGGGACACTTTAAATGTTTTTATTATTATTTATAATACTTTCATTTTTCTATTTTTACACTTAAGATTATTGTATGCGGAACTATGTCTGTTAGCCTTTTGGGATCCTGTAGGGGGTAGCTGAAGCCCTCTAGCTGCAGTGAAAATACAAATCTCATCATGCACCTGCCTTTGGGAGTCATGCCTGTGCATGGTCATTGGGTGTATCTTTTGTGGGTTCAAGGGCAGGGCTGGTGCAAGGATTTTTGTGTACACAGGTGAAGGTGCATTTTTCACCCCCTCCAGGTTACAGCAGAGCCGCCTCCTCCAGCACACACATACACACAGCAGGGAGGGCATCCACCCAGCTCTTCTCTCCGTGTCACCCGCTCTGCACTGAGATCATCCAGCACTCTGCTGTCAGTGCTGAGATGCAGGGCCAGTGGTAGGAGTTTTGCAGCACAGGACCTGCTCAAGGGGCAGCTGCTTTGGGCCCCACAACAATGACTGGGCCCTGGGCAGCTCCCCCTTTTGCCCTGCGTTAAAGACGGCCCTGTGCCTGTGGCTGACAGAGTCTTGCAGTGCCTTTTAGGACTTGCAGTTCCACAACAGCTGCAGGATCAAAGTTTGGCTACTCATGCTGTAAAGCACTGTAGTAGCCGGAGCTACTACAGTGCTGGTCACAGACTTCCAGGTCCTGGTATTGTGCTCTGCTAAACAGCTTCTCCTCTTCAATATAAACCCACAGGGTCACTCACTCAGCACGGCGGCTATTCAGAGAACACCTAGAGGGAAATTATTCAGAACTGGAGTAAACAGAATGTGGAGCAATTGTGCATAGCAACCAATCACCTTCTCGCTTTCATTTTCAAAGCTTAAAGGGGAACCATGAGGTGAGTGAAAATCCTTAGTTCGAGCCGACATGTGACAATGAATCTGTCACACATCGGCTCAATAGATCGGGAAGTGAGCAAACATATACCGTTGCTCACTCACTTCTCGATCGTGTCCCTGCAGAGAGCAGTGACTGTCACGGACAAGGGAGGGGGCGGGCACAGCTGGCTCTGCCTCTAGGTAGGCAGAGCCCGCTGTATTTCACGCAGCTGAGTGGATCTCAACAGCATTGTCGGGTTCCGCCCCGGCTGCGTAGCTTGCAATATACTGAGATTTGGGTCACGGGAGGACGCTAGTATATCTCCTTCCGTGACCCTTAAGAGAACTATGGGGAAAACCCTTACCCCATAGTTCTCTTTTAACTGAACAAACTGAAGAGAGAAGCTGATTGGTTGCTATGGGAAGCTGCTCCAGATTCTGTCTGCCCCAGTTTTGATCTATTCCCCTCCTAGTAGTTTTATCAATGGTGACTTTCACCTCTCATCCATTTAGAGAACACTTTGTATCCATTTATTCAAATACTAGGGGATCTCTGAATGGCCGCTGTGCTGAGCGAGTGACCTCCTATGTTTTCAAAGCAGAGGGTAAGCCTTCAGCACAGCACCATACAGGACCTGGAAGATGGCGGCCTGCAGCTCCGGGTACTACAGTGTTTTACATGGTGACTTGTGACTTTATCAGGTATGACATATGCATACTGACAGTGAGCCAAGCTGAACCAATGCATAATAAGTTATACCTGGAGTTCACCTTTAAATTATAACTACACATTGTATCCTCCTCTGACTTCCAAACCTCTCAGGGAGCCCTGCACTGAGATCTCTCAGCTCTAGACCCTGCTGCTTCCATAGCTATTATGAAATAAAGAAGTCACACTCCTCCTGCTGAATTCTTCCTACTATTAAAAAAATAATTTGGAAGTAAGAATGAGATCCTTGCCACAGCAGGTCCAGTCAAGCAACCTAGAAGCAGAAACCATTCCTGAGATGTTCATGAAACATACAAAAAAAAGGTATTTACCCTACCAGCATCCACCCAAAAACCGAGATATCACTTTTGGACGAAGCTTGCTTTTAACCTAATACACGCAGATTTATGAGGACACTCAGACACCGCAATAAATCTACAATAGCTGCTGTTCTGCGGATGGAAAAACAATAAACCGTAAAAAGGTTAAAGTTTGTGCTGTAATTACTTTTTTTCCAGTAAGTCAGCAACCTCAGTCCAGCTATAAGACTGCAATCAGCGATCCAGGAAAATAAGCATCATGCAACCTGTAATATATCATTCATTCATAATTCTACCCTCAGATCTTCCCATTGACAAACCTGTTCTGCTGCTTTTTTTTATTATTATTGTCCCTGTAATTGTCGGGAGATCTGCATACCTTGCAGGAAAGTTCAGGTGATGGAAGTTAAGGTGAGCTAGACATAAAACTGACTGCAAAGTCAAACGGGAGGCGTGGCCGAGCTGACAGGAGGTGCAGTGGGCGGGGCCACTGTCAAAGCCACTGCCATATATAGAGTGCGGGGCTCTCCGCTTCCAAGTTGAAGTCAATCAGCCGCTACTCTTCAGCACCAAGGACAGCGCCGGCTGCAGCACTTTAGCACTATGGCAGAGACTCATCTCCAAGGGGTGGAAATTTCAGCCTCCCAGTTTCTGGAAATCTGGCGTCATTATGATACCGATGGTGAATATGATTACCCTATAAACTCTAATCAATGCAGAGTAACCATTTCACTGCCAGAGGGATGCAGTGCCCTGGCATGGAAAAGGTTAAAGCTATTTCTTTTTTTTTCTTTTTCCACTTTCTTGCTGCGTTTTCTGTTTTTTCAACTTTTCTTTTATAATGTCTGGCTTGATCTACGGGATTCTGTCTGTCATCGCCTAGTCTTTTGATGCCAGCCCTTGGCACCGGAGGGGGATCTGATATTATGTTGGTTTCTGTTTGCAGGGAATGGGTTCATTGAAGGGAAAGAACTGCAGAACTTTATTCAGGAGCTCCTACAAGCTCGGAAGAAAGCAGGACTGGTATGTGTCATTTTTGGCTGTCCTATATGGATCTAAGTGATTTTCCTTCGCTCCTTGCTGTTAAGTCTTCTTTCTTTCTTTAAGTCGAACTGCTTATTGCATGAGCCGGGTCTGTTTTAGTATTGCAGCATCCCACAAATCAAACCTGCAAGGGAAGCAAATCCAGATATGTATTTTGTCATCCTGGATAGCAGGTTGCATTTAACTCCAAATCGATGTGAGTTTTAACTGCAGCATCTAATTAAAGTATCAGCTATCAGTTAAATTTGTCCCCTAGAGCCCAGAGTAGCAGCCAGCTAGCTATGTGCCTGTAATACAGATACATTGTCTCTGTGGCTTGGAAGGTTAAGGACCGGGTGCTTGAAATCCTCATGTTATAATTAAAAGTATACCAGTGGATGAAACCCTTTGTCCTACTGTGTCTCAATGCAATCATCTTGTAAATCAGTTAGTTCCGTATCAGAAAGTCATGTATGGAAAACATAACTACCCCTAGAAGTTCCATAATATTTGGCTTGAGAGGGTGAGGGCAGGATGTGTAAAAGCCTCATGATATAATTGAAAGGATATAACATTATAAAGATAGAAAAGCTACCCATTGCATGAACCCCTTTCCGCTACTATGTCTCAATGCAAACAAATCAGTTAATATCCCTATGAGATAGTCATGTATGGAAAATATAACTGCCCTAAGAAATTCCATAATATTTGGCTTGATAAGTTGAGGGCAGGATGCTTACAAGCCTCATGGTATAATTAAAAGGATACAAAATGAAAAAGATTTTAAAAAATAACAGCTACACAGTGCATGAACCCCTTTGCCCTATTTTGTCTCTATGCAAACATCTTGAAATTCAGTTAATTCCTTATGAGAAAGTCGTGTATGGAAAACATAACTGCCCCAAGAAGTTCCATAATATTTAGCTTGAGAGGTTGAGGGCAGGATGCTTGAAAGCCTTATGATATAATTAAAAGGATACACCATTATAAAGATTAAGAAATAGCTACCAAGTGCATGAACCCCTTTCTCCATACTATTTCTACATACAAACATCTGAAAAAATCAGTTAATTCCTTACAAGAAAGTCATGTATGGCAACCATAACTGCCCCAAGAAGTTCCATAACATTTTTTTTTGAGCGGTTGAGGACAGAGTGCTTGAAAGCCTCATGGTTTACCTAAAAGAACTGAGAGCTATCAAGATAAGAAACAAAATAGCTACCTATTGCATGAACCCCTTTTCCCCTCTACTATTTCTAATTGGAAACATCTTTTACATCAGTTTATTCCCTACAGGAAAGTCATATTTGAAACATAACTGCCCCAAGATGAACCATAACATTTGGGATTCTTGGTGTAAGTCACACTACATTCCAGCTGATCACCCCATTCACCATTTTATTACTAACCCTTTTTAGATATGAATGTGCCTTATAATACATTCTGGTTATCTTGGACACCAAATTATAAAGATAAAAAAACACTAGCTACCAAGTGCATGAACTTCTTTCCCCCTACTGTTTCTCAATCAGAAAATCAGATAATTGCCTACGAGAAAGTCATGTATGGAAATGTAACTTCCCCAAGATGTACCATAATATTTGTGACTCTTGATGTAACTCTACAGCCACACTACATTCCAACTAATCACTCCATTCACCATTTTATGCCTAACCCTATTTAGATATGACTGTGTCTTATAATACACTATACACTACAGGTTATTTTGGACACAAAATTATAAATATATAAAAAAAAGCTGCAGAGTGCATGAACCTCTCCCCTCTACTATTTCTCAATGTAAACATCTTGTATATACGTTAATTCCCTACAAGAAAGTCATACATGGAAAATGTAACTGCCCCAAGAAGTTCCATAATATTTGGGACCCCTGGTGTAACTCCACACCCCCACTGGTTTTCAGCTAATCACCCCATTCCCAATTGTATTCGTATCCCTATTTAGGTATGACTATGCCTCATGATACATTTCGGTTGACCTGGATACTCAAACATATAGGAGAATGTCTTGTTTGCAATGTCATTTTTATTGTCGTTATTTATGAACAAATGTTTTATTGACTCTTTGTAGAAATGCATTGAAATTCTGCATAGTTATACTTCTGTGCAGCATTTCTTTGTGTGCAATTAATGTCTCAGGGCACAAATTGAAAGCATTCCGATTTTGCTCTGCTCATGACCTAAATATTGGCATCTTGTAAAATCTTCACATGCCCTAGCTATCCAATAAGTAGTTAACTGGATTGCAGCAGCAGCTAAGCAAAGTAATAGCTTGCATATCAAGTGGAGCGACACAAACATTATTGTGCATGATCGTTACAGCTTATTATGTTATAAAAAGTATTGGCTCACTTGGTGATGAAGTATCAAAATGCATATGGAATTTGAAAGATGCTGATGAACTGGACACTTATTTTTATTTTGATTGCAGTTACAGGATCACTTTGGGCTCGTTCATCGTGCAGCAACTGTGTGCAGTGTGTAGATGCCAGGAGCAATTCGTTGAAAATAAACTTAAATTCCATTGGCAGACTTTAGGATACCATATTGTATACCACTTTTTCAAATAAGCCTTACAGTGTCTGATCTATTAACGCTGCTAAGAGTGGTGTGCAATATCCTATAACAGCCATTTAGAAATCAGCAGTTACTCTAAGCTGCTGAAAGCTGAGATGTTATTGCTTATTATGAGATACTCTACACTGTGTCAGTTCTATTGCACTTTTCTCAGTGCTGTTAGATAAAGCCATTTTTATACCATCTGTGTAATGTGTTAAATAATCCAAGACCAGTGGATATGACCTTTCCTTACCGCAAAGCTTATGTTAGGAATCAGTACTGATTACCATCTGACACTCATAATCCTCTAATGTAACCTCTTCTCTGATCTTTGTCTGCTCTGTGGCATTCATAATTCCATCCCCTCCCTCAGAGCTGATATAAGTAATACTGTGTATCGGTAATATCAACATATTGTACATAATTTCAGCATATTTTATTGTGTGTCCCAGCTTTGAAAAATACATTTTAAGTTTGAATATTCAAACCAGATTTTCTATTTTATTTTCACCTTCCTTTCTTTCGTGGCTTTTAAAATTCAGTTCACTGACAAGTTTTTTTCCTTCTAATATGTATGTAACTTTTGGAGGAATTGGCAAAGTCATCCTGTTTGTTAATGTATATGTTAAAGAACCTGCTGAACCATTAAAATGTTCATTTGGGTGCAAGAGATGCTATTCACTGGAGCACACAGATTGCATTTATTCATATATTTCATGATTAGAAAGTGACCTTTGTATTTCAATATGTACCCACCAGTGTGTATAGCTCAATATCTCATCATTACATGTTTCCTTTAGAGGCAGTTAACTAAAATGTGGAATCAGTGTAATCTTTCCAAATAGCAGCATAGAAATCTGTGTAATAAGCAGTATCAAATGACAAGAAACTGAGAGCATTTCCTGTCCTGGAGGGAATATAAATTCTTGGGTCTTAGAGATACATGCAGTACATGACCATTCCTGACCTGAACTAATCCTCTGTCTTTTTACTGCTGCTGTATTGGTCCCCCCTTGCCTGCTATGATCTAGTAATCTCTATCTTTGGCTCTGTGCCCTTTACTCATTTACATCACTATCACCACAACTCTCTCTCTCTCTTTTATCTCTCGCCCTCCCTCTCTGACATCTCTCTTCAGGTTTCTAACTTTCTAATATTTACCATTCACTTACATATAACATCAACCCAAACTATGTTTCTTTCTCCCCCTCTCTTCTATTCTTTAATTTTTGTCTCTTCTTTTCTCTTACCCACTTCTCACTCCTGTCCAATCCTTTCTTTCTTTCTTTCTTTCTTTTTTTCTTTCCTTCTTTCTTTTTCTCTTTCCTTCCACCCTTCCTCCCCTTCCTTCCTCCTTCCTTTCATTCTCCCTCCTTTCCTTTCTTCCTTTTTTCAATTCTTCCTTTCTTTCTCCCTCCTTCCTTCTTTACCTCCTTCCTTTTTTTGCTCCTCGCTACTTCCTTTTTTTCTCCCCCCACCCATCCTCCCTTCCCTTTCTCTATCCCTCCTTCCTTTTCTCCTTTCCTCTCCTTCCTCCCTCTTTTCTTCATTCTTCCTAGCTTCCTGCCTTCTTATCCCCTCCCTCCCTCCTTCCTTCCCTCCCTCGCTGTCTCCTTTTCTCCAAATTTTCTTTTACCTTTACTTTTCTCTATCCTTTTTCTCTCATTCACTGTCATCTCCCTCCCTCCTTCCTTCCTTCCAGCTTTCTAATTCCCTCCCTCCTTCCGTCCCTCGCTGTCTCCCTTTCTCTATATTTTTCTTTTCCCTTTACTTTTCTCTATCCTGTTTCTCACATTCACTGTCATCTCCCTCCTTTTCTTCCTTCCTTCCTCTTTCCATTCCTTCTTCTTTCTTCTTCCTCTCCTTCCTGCCTTCCTTCTTTCCCTCCTTTCCTCACTGTCTTCTTTTCTCTCTAATTTTCCTTTCTCCTTATCTTTCTCTTTCCACTTTCTCTTGTTTACTTTCTTTCTTTTATGTTTAATAGAGATAATGTTCTGCTGGAACAGGAGAGTCAGAGCAGAGCCCTGTAGCTGGAAAAGTAGATGCCTATGTCTACACCACAGCTATGTATGTGAGCTGTTGTCGCCTCTGATCACATGCATGTCTTAGACGACTGAGCAGGCTAATAATTGCTATTACACAAGCTGCAGGCTGAAATCTTCTTAGTCTCTCATTTAGATAACTGAATATATTGTTTAATCTCAGAACACACAGAACACACAGGGAGGGTGACTCCAGTCCAGAGAAAAAGGTCATACTAGTATCTGTAAATAATGTGAATAAAACCAGTGTAAAGAAAGGCATTGAAAAGGTGAATTAATATTTCATGTTTGATTAACACATTATCTATTGTAACTGAATAATTAAAAAGATGCTTTGTAAATCTGCAGCACATACTTGCAGAATTATAATAATTATTTTGAAATAGGTGAGCAGTTTCATTTTAGTCTGTAATCTCTCATTGTGTGACATAAACCCTTTTCACAATGCGCTGCTGTACATAAGGTGCATTAAATAAAACCTTGTCTTTTAGGCTTTCCAGGTGTCCCTCTTTGGAAGCATAGTCCCTATATAATTATTTTGTCCCTTTTTTCCATAACTGTCCTTCATTCAGGTCTGTAGAATAAATTTACCTAACATTAGTATTAACCACTAATTAGACTGAAAGCTGCTTTGAAAGTTTGAATGGGATTAGTAATACAGGGAGCAGAGAGAAAGGAAGTTACCTAGAACAGGCTTGAGGAAGCACACTCTCAGCGACCCAGTGAGGTGCATTCTGGATACTGACTACTAACTAATTGCTTGTTATATGTTTCCCCAAATTCCATACAGTCTATTTATCTCCAGGGCATAAACAGATCAAAAAATGCATTTGACAAACAATTGTTTCATATTTTCCAGGATTTGTCAGAGAGTATGAAGGCCTTTGTGGAGCAGTATGGACAGAGCAGTGATGCGAAGATTGGAATAGTGGAGGTAAGATAAGTTTTCTCTGTCTGAATAGCACTGCCTGAGGATGTGCTCACTGGGCGAGCAGCTGAATAGACCATGGAAATATTTCTATAGTGCTTTGATGAAGCAGGGTCTCTTCATCCCATTGTCTGGTATAAAGAAAGAAGTTCAGAAAATTAGGAACACCTTGGAGTAGATCTCCTCGTTTAAAGAAAATGTATCAGATAAGAAATCTTTAGGCTATCATTCTAACAAGTAGAGGTGACGTGCTGTATTCAAATATTCAGAAGATCGACCAGGACATGATAAAGCACAATGGCTCTGGTGAGGCCCTCAAACATGGGAACCCAGAACTGAAGATACATGTATATAAAGTTCAATAAAAAAACAAAGACAGCAGGAGAGTCCAAAAACTTTTAATAATAGAATGGGTTCACCAACAACAACACAGAACATCCAATGCGTTTTGGGGGCTGAAAGACCTCCTTTCTTCAGGGAATAAACATAGGGGGTCTATTCACGAAGCTGCCGAAGGATCTGGCCGTAGCTTCGGCCGATCCTTTGGCTAGCTTCGGCCCCAGGACCACTTCGGTTCAGTAGAACCGAAGGGGTGCTGTACGGGCTATTCACAATAGCCCGTACAGCTCCTGATCATGGCCGAGCGGCGCAGCCGTGCCGAACGCATATGCATCGGCTCGGCTGAGCCGTGCTGAAAGCCAAAGCTGGCAGGCTGACAGCCTGCTTCTGACAGTTGGGCAGAGCCAGCCGTGATCTTACGGCTGGCTAGGGCCACTTACAGTGAGATTAGCGTCACTGGTTACCTGCTAACCAGGGACACTGCTCTCCAAACAGCTAACTCTCCCTGGCACCCCGGGAGTCTCCTGCTCCCGGCCGCCAAGGAGAGAAACACTGCTGTGTCCTTTTTTTTCTTTATTCTGACACGATCGATGGACCCCATCAGGTCCATCAGCAGAGGGCGGGTACAATGTTAGTTTACTATTGGCTATTGCAAATTGAAATAGCCAATAGTAATGTCCCAATGCTTTTCAATGGGAAATTGTTTTAAATTTTTTTTTCTATTCTGACATCAGTGTTTCTCTCCTGGGCGGCCGGGAGCGGGAGGCTCCCAGAGCGCCCGGGAGAGTTTTTTTTTTTAAGTGAATAGCCGAACAGTGTTCGGCTCACTTCACTTCAGATTGGTCATTCACTCGGCTGCCCTCGGCAGCTTCGTGAATAGACCTCATAATGTTTAGTAATATGGACTCATCATATTCACAGGGATTCATTATTTGCTGTGTAGGTTATAGCCCAAAAAAATGTCTGATTCATTGATTTTGGCATCAAGGGAATGGCAGCTTAAATATTTACTTTAAAGTAGAATATTACAAATCGGTAATAGAGATGAATTTGATACTGTTGGTGGCCTGTCCTTAAAAGAGAACAAGAACCAAACTTTTTTTTAATCCTCTTTTCGGTCAAAGGAGTATATTTACTAATGTAATGCTTTACTATGTGTGACCCAAAGTCAGCATCTAGCAAGCTACTACCTGCTATTTGCTGACAGCATAGAACCGCGGTATAGCCCGGAAAGACCCCAACAAAATTGGCTGGATCCACCCCACTGCTTGCTTGACAGCTGGCTGTGCCTCTCTAGAGACAGCTGTGCCCACCCCCTCCACAGTCTGTCCCTGCAATGAGCACTGGAGGAACAGAGAGGGAAGGAGGAATCCCTGTGGGGAGCAGTTACATAGTTACATAGTATTTGAGGTTGAATAAAGACATTAGTCCATCAAGTCCAACCTATTAGGATCTCATTCTAGGAGTACCTGTACCCCTGTATATTACGGTCCCTTAAGAAATCGTCCAAAAGTTTCTTGAACAATTCCAGATTCTTTGCTGAAATCACTGCAGTGACTGACAGTTCCACCCTATGCAGGGAGAAACAGTGAGCTGAGTGATCAGTGTTTTTTCATTGCTCAGCTCTCGATCTATAGAGCTGGCATGTCACGCCGGAAGTGTCACATGCTGGCTCTAAGTATAGAGAAGAGTATATTTTACTCTCCCAATACTTTTCCTTTAAAGCCAGATCTTCAAAAACCAGGACTATCCTTGGAAGTCAGGCACAGTTGACACCTATGGTTGTTGTCAGCAGGTTTCCCTTGGGGCTGTCTCAGTTTCATCCAACCAAGAGTAGGCCTAAAGGCTGATCATACACTTTACAATCTATGTACAATTTTCTTTAGATTTTCTAACAATGGTGTGGTGCAAGTGCCGCCTGTAGTCATTTCAATTTATATCCAATCAGGTAAGCTCTTGCCATACACAATTGTTGGTAAATCAAAAGAGGATTGTATAGAGAGGTACAATCTGATGTGCGGGCAGCTTTAGGCAGGCTCAGAGCATGTAGAAATTGTACTTCTCAGAGGGCCTGAAAGCTCTTCAGAAGGGTCAGCGGCCAGACAAATAGAGCTCTGGGTTTACCTAGCCAGCTTGCTGCCTTTCAACTGCTCCTCATCTCACCAGACTGAAAATGGTAATGATGTTTTTGCAGTGACAGGTGAAGCCTTTTCTTCAATAAAAGATTAATTTTGTTAATATGTTCTATATACTTGATACTGAAGCTTGTATCACATCACAGTGACATGTACTGACTATTAAATGAGACAGTTCTGATAACGATATTACTATGTGTTGAACGTTTGTTGTTTTTCCTCCTGTTATGGTGAATTATAGTCGCTGTTGCCCAGCAATTATCACTTTTAGGGTTACTTTAGTGCAGGATTGGTGTACCTAAGCGAGTTACAATATTGTTTTAGTAGATTGTCTTGAACTAGGGACCAGGTATGGCATATTTACTCTACTGAATTTTAAATACTTTCCTTGCATTTCATATACTCTTCTCAAAGAGGAAGTATAGTCTTTTTAATGTAATTTCAAAACATATGTGAGAGATCAGCTTAAAGTGTACCTACAACCAAAATGTTTCATTTTAGAGTTGGATAGAGTAGGGAATAGATACAGTCCATGTTAGATCCCACAGTGGAGCTTCCATTCCTGAAGATACAACAAAGTAGATTTAAAATTTAAAGTGTATGTATAGCCAAAACATTTTTTTGTTATACATTTAAAAAAAGTAACAGAGCCCCTGTCAGGCTTGTATTACTGTCTCTGTCCCTACTAAGGAGATTCACCCTCTCACCTATTTGTTCTGCTGACCATTCACACTGAAACAGAAAGGGGTGGAAAATCCAAAATTGGAGACACCTGTTCCAGTGACAGCTGTATAAGGCTGGGCACACACCTTACAACCATCGCAAGACTTATGTCTTGCGATGGTTGTAAGGTACTTAAAAAAACGTACGATCTGCCTATCTTGCATAGGCAGATCGTACTTGCGATGATCGCAAGCCACGCCCCCTGAGGGGCGGGCTTCCGATGACTGCAATGCCGAACGGGCAGTGTGCGCTTGCGCACACTGGCCCGTACGACTTTTATCGTACAAACATGCCACAAACCCGCCGAACATCGTACGATGCTCGGCGGGTTTTCGAACATGTCCGTAAGTTAAAAGTCTTCCACACACCTTACGATAATCGTACGATTGCGTGATTTCCCACGATTATCGTACGATTATCGTAAGGTGTGTGCTGACCTTTAGAGGGGAATGCACCTACTTTGTTGAGATTCCCTCATACTTTCTGTCTCTCTCTTGGACAGGAAGTAAAGGGATATCTCCCCAATAGGGCAGAGACAGAAAAAAAATAAACTGACAGGGGTATTTAACCCCTTTCCTACTTCCTACTATTTTCCTACTCTATTCAGAACTGATAGGTGTCAGAATAGCAAGTAAAAATACAATTCTCTACTTATTGTGAGAACAGCAAGTGAAGAGAAATCTCCCCAACAGGGACACAATATTTTCAAGCAGAGGAAGGTTTAAAAACACTTTAGATTTTATTACTAATTGTGTCCCTGATAAGAAGATTCCTCCTCACATCCTGCCCAGGTGATAGGTGTCAGACAGAACAGGAAGTAAGAGGAAGTCAGCCCAACAGTGTCACAGACAGCAGTTCTAACCTTGCTCTGTCTATATGTTCTGTCTCTTATTGATTCAAGCGTGAATTTTAATATGTGAATTGTGAATTGTAATATGTTTAATTTTTTGAGACTGATTATTTCTTTACAAAAAGCATCCACACCCCTCTCACAGCAGCAGCCAATCGTATATTCTGATTCACACACAACTGCACAGTAATGCTGAATAGGGTCACTTTCAATGCCACTAGAACTTGTATCCGGTCCATGAGATAGGAGGCACTAATATAAATATTCAGGATAATATGAAGATACTTTTATGAACATAGAAAAGAACTGAACGTAACAGAAAGTCATTATTTGAATAGGACTTCAGATTTTATTTATGGTGGCTCATGGAGATAATCTAAATGCATGATGTGCCAACAAAGGGTGCCTGCTATTTGCACTGTAACTTTGCTTAGCAAAGCAATATAGGATCATGCCTGATTATACATTATAATGGAATAAAAAAAAAACATTTACTGAGGCCTGCATGTTATATGAAAAGCTTTCTCTTTATTAGTTGTTATCCTATTGTAACACCTCCATGCCCACACTACGGAGAAAGCCATAGGCTGTTCATGCTAAGCGAAGTTTGCTTTGCTATGCAGATATTAGTTATTGTGATCTGAGTACCAGCTGTAATGATTTCATGAATTATAAAGAGGCTTGGAGGCCATGACTGATAAACAGTGGCAGCTCATGATACAGGCAGCTTAGACAGATACTTCAGTCAAACTAAAAAAATAGCATGGAAGTGCTTACAAGGGACATGTGTCCAGGGTGTTTGTTTTATTATCCCGATATTGTTTAAGGATACAAAGGAAAAGTAATGATGAAAAAAGCAAAAATTCTGGGTTTAACCAATCATTTTTGGCATATAAATTCTTAATGGTCTGCATAACTGTGGGCATGGCAATGGTGTGTCCATTGCCTAAACACATTGT